AAACTATCTTGTAACATCAGGGTAATATATATTTATTATATTATTAAGAGCTAAAGCTCATTTCAAGACCATAGGTATCTTTCCTTGCTATAGTTCGGTTTATTGTGTTTATACATTGAAGGATGCCATGGGCACTACTATGCTATAAGAGCTATAGGAGAGTATAGTCAGCAGTTGCTGTAGATGACTGACATAAGGAAATATCACCCAGCCTCTAAAATAAATCCTGGATTGTTCCCTGTGGCGGAAAGATTTTCTATTGAAATGTTTATCCAGGGTCAACCGAAGTGTGAACATATTTGACCGACATGGGGAACAGAAAGAAGAGATTACGTTACCTGGGTAAATATCAGTTTCGAATGAAAATGATTGTACGTGTGCCAGAGGAACTAACAATGCAATCATTGCATATTTAACTACGTGCTCTGGATCAATGGTAGCCAGCAAATTAGATTTTATCTGTAATATATAGTCATTCATAGTTGCCATTCAGACTTCGGTCATTCTTAGTAGTTCATTCATGTATGCTCTGTGGTAAAAGTTCATTTCGTCAGCACGGACGTATACTTTGTAATGCACTTCAACTCTTATATCAATTGTGTATCAATTCAACTCCTATATATCAATTTCAGTCAGTGCATCGACCTTGGGTGGGATCAGGATGGCGATACTCTGGCAATCATCTGCGATAAGGTTGGCACAGTATTTTTGTGGGATGCTAACACGCACAAAGTGGCGCAGTTGGATACCTCATTCAAGTAAGATGCACGACACAGCTCAACGTTTTTCAATAATTCAGTGCATTTTCTACAATGTTCGTGTAGAATCTTAACAGATCTACGCTACTTGAGTGATTTTGTATGTAATTTGTGTTGCTATCGTTTGTATCAGGAGCGAATAAAAACGAAAAATGAGTTTTAAATTACCACTGTGTGTATGGTTCTAAATGGTTGTGCTTCTGTTATAGGGATCAACTGTCGCTGTGCATCTGGGCTCCAGCTAATCAACTTCTAGCAGCTGGTTCTTCAAAGGGCAACCTGCTTATCTACAACCACCTAACACAGAGGTACTGCACGAAAAACATTTACGACTGCTTTCACCTGTTGTAACGCGTTGCAGAAAGATTCGTTTGTTGTGCAAGCACACGAGATGATTCGCGCAATGTGTCATGTTAGCGTCGATTCTTACTTACCGTTCATGCACACTCTCGCTCTCTCTATATCTCTTT